GGGCGTGTGTGCTCGCCAGACAGACAGAGAGAGACAGAGACAGAAAGCGAGAAATCACCCCCCAGGGGGGATGGTCATGCCGCAATCCCTTCTCCCCCATTCTCCTCTTGGGATCTTGGGCACGCACGCACATGCGCCCGGCGTGAGTTTTAAGCCACCAGGTCTGGGACGCGAACCGCGGTCGACTATGTGGGAGTCCAGTGACATAGCCATTACGCTAACTGCTGGTTCCCAAAATTTTGTGGTATTTTTGGATATCCCAGTTGCATACTTAATGTATTAATAAAGAATATATACAGCCATATTAGATGTTTGTTTTATTAATCTTTTGATAATGCACTTCAATATAATTGGTTTCATAATAATCCTGTGTGCATCTTAGTCTATGCACTATATATGTTCTGAGGTTTCCATAAGGGGACCTCAGAACAGACCTGGCCAGGCACCCATCCCACCCACCTGGCCCAGGTTGGCAGATTCAGGCTGGCCTCCTCCAGGAGTATTCAGGCTTCAGCAAAGACCTCCCTGGTGCAGCACACCCATTGCATTCCGCTAGGTGGCAGCAGTGGGGGGACCTCCTCTGTGGGCTATCTGGGACCCAGTTTGTTCTTTGCCTTAATCGGACTGGCTTCCTCAAACTCCTGCAGGAGAGCTCTAGAAGGAGATGGCCATGAGGATCCAGACAGGCAAAGTGCTGAATCACCCTGGTACCTCTTTGGACCATTGACTAGCTAAAAGACAATTGTTACACTGTGAAGTTAACCTTACAAACATTTCTATGTGGAAGGGAATAGGAAACCCAGATGAAGAGAATGAGGGTCAGAAAGGTTAGATTACCTGTCCAGGATCCTAAGTTAGTAAACAGTGGCACGTGATGTACCCAGGACAAGGCTTGTGTTTTTTGGTACCCCTATATTCTCCTTTCCTGGGAACCCATGGGAGGTGAGTGGGGTAGAAGTCCCATCCTCTTGGGCATCGGCAGGAGTAGAATCTTACAGCACCCAAAAGCCATTGGCAAATATCCTGGAGGTCCCAAGGTGAAGGGCCTGACTGGTAGGCAGCGAGTCCCAAGCCATCCTCCAGCTGCCTGTGCCCTATCTCCCAGTGCCCCCTCCCAGGAAGGCCTCACCTGCTAAGTAGAGGCCACTAAGCCCTCACCCAGGCGGGGTGATTACAGAGCTTACTCCGTTAGCCTCTTTCTGGAACTGCCTTATATGGTTAACACAAAGGATTGCACTAGCATGATTTCTAAGACCCCTGACTTTGCACCTCCCTCAAAGGTATGAGAACTGAAAGTAGGGCTTTGTCCGTGGTTTCTCAAGGAATCACTAAGTCTGTCCTTCTATGGGGTGTTCGGCCCTTGTGAAAGCCTCCCGTTTTCCACAGCGCCCCTCTCCCCCTTCACCCTGCCCCCAGAACTACCACAAGGGCCTTTCTTTATTTATTTACTGTCTTGCAAATAAGCCTAATTTGGTAGACAGGGGAAGTCCTGAAGTGGGGGTCTGGGATACCCTGGTGGAGTCTGTGGTTCCCGGGAGCCCTCAAATAACTCCTTCGGAGAGGACCTGGCCAAGCGGCATCTGCGGATTGATCGAGGAAGGATCGCTAGATCATCAGCCCAGGAACTGTAGGATATTCAGGATATAGGGTAGGGTTGGCTTCTGGCAGAAGCTCTAAAGCTTTGACCAGGAACACAGTTGCTTCAACCGCCAGCGCCCGAGGCAGGGGCCCACACGGTGGGAAAATTAGGACTTCGTAGTAGAAGACCCTTCCTCCAGCCCCTGAAATCCCCCTCTCCCAGCCGGCGGCGTCAGGCAGCTTCGCCGCCGGAGGAAACTTTTCGCTCAGCCCTTGCTCGATGTGCCACTCGAGTCCTCTCTTGGGAACGTCCCCTCCCCAAGTCAGTTCTCTGGGTATACTGGGTACACCCGTAACCGGGTCGGAACCTCGAACTGCTTTGCACGCCATCCGGTTACCGTGGCAACACCATCCGGCGAGGACCGGCGATCCAATCGGAGCCCGCGGCCTCTCTCCAGCCTTTCCCAAGGTGGGGACCGGGACAAGGCCGGGGACGGGTAAGGGGGGGAGGGAAGGAGGCCCCCGCTTATGGTGTCGTCAGAGCTTAGCACAGTACCCTACAGCGAACTGGGCCACTGGGAGGCGAGGGGGCAAGCCGGAGCCGAGACCGGGCTCGGGGCTCGAGCTCCCGTTCGAGGGGCGGGGAAGGCGGGTGACGTGAGCCTGGCCGGGCGGGCGGAGTTGGGACCCGCTTGGAGAGGCGGGGGCGAACGCGCAGAGAGGCAGACGCGCGAAGGGAGGCGGCCGAGCAGCCGGAGCGGCTTTGCGGCGGGCGCGGTGGGCGCGGGCGGCGGGGCCCCGGGATACCCGCGCGCCTCC